CTTTTTGTACACCTATCACTTTGCTTGTCAGTCTTTGGCATTGCTTTAACTGACGAATTAAAATTTCACATTTTGCCTTTTAGTTTGGACAGTATTTGGAGGAACGACCCGGACGCATCCAGTTTAAGCAGATTTCCATCTTTGGCGATGGTGGTAGGCTAGGCATTATCGTCGGCGGTGTCCTCGTAGTCGTCTTTGTCCTGCTATCCTTCATCATCTTCGTGATTTGGTGTCGTTTTCATCGTCTTGAACGGAACCTTGAAGTTAAGTTCCAGCAGCGTTGGGCAGAACAGGAGAAATGCGTTGCTCGAGCCTTCAAACAGGGTAGGTCTAACCCTCAATACAGCCACTGGCTCTTACTGTTTTCCTTCTCAGATCAGCTTTTTAAATCCTTTTACGTTTTTTTGGAGTGTGTACTACTCCTTGGACAAACTGTACTTATTTGCTCCTTGGTGGTTGTAGTTCACTGAGTTTTCCCTTACAGGACTTTCTTCACATTTCACTTCTACTACTTTCCAGTGCACTTAGCCTATTTGCTTAACAACTTACTCATCCTCTTTTGTGTTCAAAAATAGAAAATACGATCGCTGGAACAATAATTTTATTTGCTCGACGTTTCGGGTTCTGTCGAGAATCTTTAACCATAGGTAACCAAAGAATAATGTGAGATATGCACAGATTGTGCGGTATTTATAGCTCGTAGCGGTCATCCGCATTCATACTATAATTATCAGCTCTTGTAACCACCGCTTGGTGTCGTAATTGGCCTGGTGATGGAATGGTAATTCGTTTTTCAGTCATCAATTGACGCATAACCACGTGAGCCGCGAGCTGCTCGAGTCGTGGTTCTCAGACCTACAGCCAATCAACAAGCGCAACGGTTTGCCGTTCCCATACTGCGTACTGAGACATTGCCTGAGCAGGAGAATCAGCCACATAAGATGGGCCGGGCCCAGCAACAAATCCGACGACAGCGAACATAATTTTCGCGCAGTTATCAAGCGGTTATCATGGCGTTCACCAGTATGCGCACTATAATGTACCCTCGCTGGGTGTCGTAATTGGTGCAGTGATGGCCTGACAGTTCGCTTTCGAGTCATTAATGCTCACGATTTCGCTGTCCGTGTCGGATGCGGGTTTGATAAATGTTGCTGGGTCCGGTCCTTCCCATGTGACCGATTCTCCTGTTCAGACAATGTCTCCGTACAGAGTATAGGAACGACAATCCGTTGCGGTTGTTGATTGACTGTGGGCATGAGAATCATGACTCGAGCAGTTCGCGGCCCACCCGCTCGTCACCTTTTGCGAGGATCTCGGCCTCGTTAAACATGAAAATATGGCCGGGTCCCACCGAGTGAGCGGCACCCTGGTAGTTAGCTTCTTTCCTCCTTACAGCCGCTGCGTGCTTAGCCACTCGCGTCTGGAGTAATCTCCCGGATTCTCCGACATAGTTGCTTTGTCCACAACTGCACCAGATCTGGTAAACGCCTACAGCCATTTCCTGCCGTGACAGTGTATCTTTCGGTCTCATGACCCAGCATTTGATGGTTGCTTCTGGCCTGTGCGCACACTATTCTTTGGTTACCTCTGATGAAGGGTTGTCAACAGAATCTAAAACGTCAGGCAAATAAAATTCTTGTTCCAGCGATCGCATCTTCTACTTCGCAACTGCTCCCTCGAACTCACATATTCGCTTCTATTTGTTGTGTTATCTAATCCATGCGCTGTTAATAGGCTGTCCTAATTTGTTGACTGATCTAATCTAGCATCATTTAATTCTTTTTAGACTTTATGGAACTGCAGACACACATGGTGGAATTTGCGCAGGATCTGAATAAGAACAGCCTGCCCTTCCGTGACTATCAAACATACTGCCTTTTCTCCCTGTTTCCCGATTACCACAACGAGCTCCAACGTCCCAGAAGTCCACACTGCATTCCAATTACTCCGTCTTTACGAGGAGCCCACTCGAACGGCGGCGGTGTCGTGGCTGACATGACAGCTTCGCTTGCCAACCCAACGCTCGGACACCCACTTTCCTCTTCATTCCACGTGAGTTCTACTTTCCTGATGGAAATGTGTCTACGAGTAGCGAGGGACTATAGTTGTCTTTGCTGGCAATACTATTTGCCTAATTCCAGCTGTTACGGCTGCCAGGGCCTCTGTTAAAGTCCAAGGTAGAGCAGGGCAGATGAGTTCCGTTAGTGGTCAAGTGAGCTTTCATCATCTGATGTCAAT